CCAGAGGCCTACCCCACCACGTAAAGCGAAAAACAAGCAGATCCTCAAGTTGTGGAGCTACAATGTCGAGTCGGTAGTTGCGATTGATCGTATAGGCGAGCTCTTACGAATGGCCAGAGCCCACGAAGTGGCAGTCTTTTGCATGCAGAGCACGTTGAGTACCATTGAGAGACCGTGGACGAGCGAAGGATTCCGCATTCTGCCATCTCCTCGCACCGGACCACGGCCGAAGGACGGATGTATTATAGCAATTAACCTCAAATTTTTCACACTCACGGAGATCCGATGCGTTCATATTTGGATGCCAGGACGTCTCATGGGGGTGAGACTGCGACGACCAGGACATCAGGAGCGGGACATCTACGTGTTGAACGGTTATTCATACACCGACCACCCCCCTCACCAGGTAGCAGCTGACCAGCAGACCGATGAAGTACGGGCCGCACATCTACGTGGCCAAGACCAGTTTTGGCAATTATGCAGTACGGCTATCCAGAAAGTCCCAGGAAGATGCTCACTTATATGGTGTATAGATGCGAACGGATCGATGGCGCCATCACTACCTCACGTGGGCCATGCAGGTGCCCGACGCCAGACGCAGTATACGACGAACAACGGCGGCAAGTTGCTCACCATCCTGCAGGACACCGGCATGCAGGCGGTCAACACCTTCGGCCCCGTGAGGAGACAGAATGGTACGTGGCTACACACCGATGGCAAATCTTGGCGCACCATAGACTTCATTTGCACGCGGCTGCAAGGCTGCTACGGCCACCATGCCCATCCACTCCGCCAACTTCCAGTTAGCATGGGGGGTTTCCGTGACCATAGACCCCTCCAATTAATTTTTCATGCTGGACCTCGGGTACGCCGGCGACGACGAGAGACTCACCTCCGATGGGATCGCGATCAGCTTCTCCAGGATCTTAGGTGGCTTCGCGACTTTCGGCCAGACGAACACAATGAATTGCCCGACCGTATTCGCCAGCTGAGAGACGGAGTCAAAGCAGAACTCCACCGAGTAGGAATTTCTGGCCAATGGCAGGATGAGTGTGGACCGCAGAAGAAGTATCCTACGCCATCGGCCTATTACGACCAGGTAGAGAGTGTGCTGGTAGACGTGGCGCTCCCGTTATATAAAGAATCCTCCAGGAGACGCTGTGCATACAAGTACTCAGACCAGACCCTTACCCTTATTAAACGGAAGCAGCAGGTGCAGAGAATGCTGGCGAGTACCACCTTCGGCGCCAACAGGAGTCTACACCAGACATTACTCCAGAAATACCATACCCTGCATCAGGAATCACGAAAAGCAGTCAGATCCGAGAAACGTCAGCGAGCAGCGGAACTTGTCCAAGAAGCGGAGAGAGCTCAAGAGCACGGAGACCTCAGGAGGAGTGCATCCATCATCAAGAGAGTGGCCCCGAAGCCTCAGCCTCCGATCGTCACTGTAAGAGACCCCGTGACTCAGGAGCTCGCCTTCGACTCCCTAGAGGACCTCGAGATAAGGACCAAGGCTCTCAAGGACATCTTCGAGGCCGAGGAGCTCCCCATGGACCCTGAGGGCGCCCACCAGGAGATCCCAGAGGCCAACTACGAACTCATAGGGGACTACGAACTAGAAACCATAGAGAGCGTCATTATGAAACTCCCGAACATGAAAAGCGGACCAGTACTCAAGTGGTGCGATCCTGATACCTATGATGACCCAGAACAAAGACCCCCTTCAGAAGGAGCAGTAGCTGAACTTTGGAAATTAGCCCTCCCGATGATTCAAGAGCCTGTACTAGGAGTGTTTCGAGCCAGCCAAGCCTTCCAACATGTGCCACAGAGAGTCAAGAACGGTGAAACTGTGTCGCTTAGGAAACCTAAGGGAGATGGGACCAACGCTCGGGACCACTACAGAACGATCAACCTGATTGGGCATCTTGGGAAGGGCTTCGTCAACGCCACCTGTATGGGACCCCTCAGGAAGCTCGCGGGGAAAATGTCGGATACCCAATTTGGAGCTCTTCCAGGTCGGTCTACCAGGGACGCGATCGCCATAGTGGACGAAATCATCAGACGTTTTCGATCTAGTGCTAAGAGAAGTAAGAAGGAAGCTCATTTCATGGCGGCCGTGCTAGTGGATCTTGAGAAGGCGTTTGACCTCCTCCCGAGACACCAGATCTGGGAGGCCCTTCAGCAGCTGGCGCTGGACTCAGGAGTTCGTCTCACGATTGAGGGAGTTCACAGTGGCACCTGCTATGTTGTGCGCGATCCTGCTACCAATCGCCCAGCACGCAAGCTACTAATTAGCAAGGGCGTCCGCCAGGGCAGCGTCGAGGGGCCTGCTCTTTTTATTGCACTGTATGACGCGGTCACCGCAGGCATCGCCCAGGATGTGGAGGCCGAGGAGTTCGTAGGTGTTCAGGTGGTCTCTGATCCCCAGTTCCAGAGATATCGGAGTTCCGACCCCCTCGATTCCTCGATCGACATTGCCGACGTTTCACAGGTAAAGTTTGTTGATGACTTAATCGGTTTCGTCATTACCCTCGATTTCAAGAAGATCTCGGATTTCCTGGGTTTCATTCAGTATGCTATCACGGATAGGGGCATGAGGATGAACATTCCCAAGACGGAACTGATCGTGTCGGTCACGGGCTCCGGTTGCAGGAAATGTCGGAAACAGGTCGTCCAACAAACAACAGGCATCAAACTGCATGACAAAGATAACAACGTGTTCATCCCTAAAACAGCGGCCTCCGTCAAGTACCTAGGGGTCAAGATACGTGAGGACGGAACTTGGACGGAGGAGATCAACTCGCGGCTCAAGGGAGCCAACATAGTGCATGGCAGATTGTCCGTCAAAGTTTTCAAGAGTGTCCTCAGCCCTCAAGTTCGTATTCGTCTTTGGCAGTCCTTAGTTAAGAGCATTGCCTTGTATGCGTTAGAGGTGGCGATCTTAACGAAGACGAACATGAGACGGCTGGAACAGTGGCAGAATCGCAAGCTCCGCCACCTGCTGCGTTCCCCCGCGCACCTGACGCGGATTCCCAATGAGGCGATTCGTCGGAAGGCAAAGGTCTTTACGATTGAGTCGACGCTGCTTTACCGTCGGCTACGTTGGTGGCAAAAAGTAGTTCTTCCTGGTCTGTCTCCTGATAAGCCTGAGTATGATCCGAGTCGGGCAGTACGCAGTGTTATCTTTGGTCGGCTGTCATTCGAGAACCCTCGACGATGCGATCGAAGTGGTAGACTAGACCTGTTCGTACGGGACCTTCGAGCGGCCCATGGAAAAGTTACCCAAGAGTGCCGACTTCAGGCCCCGCAAGGGGCCCCAGACTTGAGCAGAAATTGGATCCAATGGTTTGCGGAGATACCCATTGCAGATTTGAAGAGGGTTTTGAGTTACTCATCGGTATTTGATGGACGACAGGAGGGAGGAGGAGACGAACCCGTTCCCGAGGTCGAATGCCCAGAATGTGGTCGACGATTTCGAGGCCCCAAAGGTTTAGACGGACACAGGTTTGCAGTTCACGGAATTGTAGCCAATAGGGTAGGCATTCCTGAAGATCTGTTGCAGCGGAAAGAATGCCCCCATTGCCATCGAGTCTTCGCACGCAAAGACGGTCTTCTTAAACATCTCCAATGGAAACGTTGCACTAAACTCGTTCCTGCAGCTGCGGTGGCTCAGTCAGCGCAGAATATCGAGAGTGACCTTCCTGAGGCCGCCCCTCCAGTGCCACCGCCACCTCTCAGAGACCATGTTCGCTCCGCTGGACGAGGCAGTGCGCAGGAAGCGCCCCGCCGAGGACGGCAAGGCCAAGGCCGAGGACGAGGAAGGGGACATCCAGGCGGCGAAGCTCGGGAAAGCTCTCGCTCGGCTGGTCCTCCAACACGAAGACACGTTGTGCAGCTCCTCGAGGGACGACAACTTCGCGATGGCGATGAAGTCCGAGCTGCAGCTGAACCAGGCCCTCCTGAACGGGGCGGACATCTACAACGAGACGGGCAAGAAGGAGCGGAAGGACAAGGGCGACGACTACAAGGGCCACCCGTTGGGCAAGAAACCCAATGCGTTCATGAAAATGGTTCTCTTTCGGCTGGCAGAGGCGATGACGGCCAACAAAGACAAGATCCTCGAAGCCGTGGCTCAGGGTCCAGAGCCTCAAGACACGCAGAAGGCTATCAAGCTGCTTCTCGATCAAGGAGCCGTGGCCAGCGAGAAGGAGTTCAAGATGAAGGCCACGCGGTGCTTCTTCATCAAGACCGAGGACGGTGCAGGACACGAGCTCACCAAATGGATCTTTGCGCTGAACCATCCCAACCACATCGCCCTGAGGATGGCCTTCAACTTGATCCGCAACAACGGTTGCTTGGTGGCGATCGGGATCTCGCTGGAGGACGATACGGGTTCGCGCTCCAAGGCAGCCAAGGAGGTTCAGAGGATTGCGTTCGCGAAGGGCGCAGGATCGAGCCGAGCAAAGAAAGTGAGGCAGTGAGTTCTAGAGTAGTTGAGACTATCGTGATTAACGACTCGAGTGAGGAAGGAGATAGGGTAGAGCCGTCCGGTAGAGTGAGGGTCGGGAGCAGGAGTAGCAAGCAACAGCTCTCGATTAAGAACTTTTTTAGCTCACGATAGGTGTTGGACTTCGAGGTAGGCTCAGCCGTGGCCGAGCAGCCCCCTAGTGCCTAGAGGGGTGCTGGGGGCTGCCCTCGCAGTGCCATCCCTGCAGAGGCAGGGGTGCGTGGGGGTAGGGTCTGGGGCGGGAGTGAGTATATCGGCACTCCTGACAGATGGCCCTGCTTGCTGTACCCTTGCGGGCTCCGACTGAAACATCCGTTTTCAGTTGCGCCGAGTTTCGGTTGAAGTTTTTGAGCCCTTCGCAAAACTTCCAGATCTCTTGGACAAGGGGAGTAGCGGTTCAAAAAAGACGACGAGGACGAGGAGCAGGAGGGTCTGGCAGGACGGGGGAGGGTCTGGCGCAGGCGTGCCTTCGCTGCCCCCCCCGCGGGACCTTCGCCTTCATCTGGTCTCGCAACCTGGCGCGCCATGCCCGCAGCGTGTTGCCGTTGTGCACCTCGCTTGGGAGGAAGGGGGGGGAGGAGGGAGAAGGAAGCGAGAGGAGAAGGAGGACGAGGAGGAAGAAGAGGAGGAGGAACAGGAAAAATATGAGGAAAAGGAAGATGAGGAGGAAGAGGAGGATCAGTGCAAACCCAAGACCCACCGACGACATTGCAGTAAACCTTCTCTCCAAGTTCCCTCCTCATATCCCCCTACAGAATTTCATGTTCACAAAAGAAACTGCCCCCTTTGGAAAACCACCATTCAAACATTCGGAACTGTGCCAAAACAGTAGTAGTTGGAGGTCAACGTAGCGAATCACCGCTACTGTTGCGTCTTCAAGGTCCTGAAGCGCGCCATCAAACCATTCCTTGGACGTGATTGTTGCGCCCAAGCATTCCGACATCGTGCGCAAAACACAAAAAAAACAATATTTTGAGGGACGCCAGCCATAGGAACCGTTGAGACCGCTGCAACCTCTTAAGACGAGTGTGCGCGGTGCTACGGCGATAAAAACATGTTGAAAAGGAGCCGCCCTCCATCCATGAAGCTCGGGCACTAAATAATTTGAAGCGGACACGCGCGGCGCCAGGGCGAGGACCACATTTTGAAAACCGCCCCTCCTCCATCCTTGAAGCCCTTGCAAGCTGTTAGTCAGAATTTACGTGGCGCGAGCGCGAGTGCCATATCCTGAAAACCACCCACCGACCACCCGTAAAACTGCTGCAAGTCTCAAGTTCCATGATTCTAACAACGGGGACTGTCTCAGGCGAAACGCCCGCCCCACCCTTTCGACCAGCCTCGGGGTGTGACAGTGAGAAGTTATGCATAAGGAGAAGGGCTGGAGGAGGAAGACGAGGAGGAGGAGGAGGAGGAACGAGGAGCGAAATGCGAGGAGGAACGAGGATCCAGGAGGAGCGACGCTGCTACAGGGACAAGTTCGTCGGCCCCGGGCGCACCTGCGCGACGGCTAGGCGAGCGCCCGGCCGGTTGCCCGAGGCGAGCCTGCGAGAGACGGACGAGAGACACTGCGCCGCACCTGTCGAGAGCTTTGGCTCTGGCAGCGCGGTACGCTGATCACATGGTACCATGCGCGCAAGCAGCCGAGATGGAATGGTCGGCGGAGAGCGGGCCAATGCTCTCCGAAGCTCCCCAGCCAAAAATTCAGCGTCGGGCGCGGCAATGAGACGCGCGGCCGTCTCCTCGACGTTGAGCAGCAATCCCGCGGCCCAACCTGCGACGCTCCACGCTGGCACAAGCAATCGCAGGACGCCGCGCACATCGCGGGCGCCCGCGCTGGCGTCGCGAGCGAACGCTGCGAGGTCGACGAGCCCCGCAGGGATGCGAGCGAGGAGTCCGCGGATGATCCGACCCAACGCCGGAGCAACAATGCTGCCTGATGTCGGGCGCCCTTGCCCAATCCCGCGGAGGGGCTAGAACGCGAAGTCCTCGGGGCCAGCGAAATTGATGGAGACGCAAACTTCCCAGCCAAGAATCTGGGTGGTCCGGGGAGCACTGTCGGGCTGGGCCATCGCCGCGAGGACAAACCAGATGAAGCAAGGGAGCGGGCCAGGAAAGGCAGCGCGCGCGTCGAAGCAACGGAAGCCAGCGCGAGAGGCCCCCAGACGGCAGAACCAAGATAAAGCGCGCCCCGCGATCTCGAGGAAGCGCCATTCGGCATCGAACGGCCCTGGACAAAAAAGCGCTGGACATCGACGACCGCGTCTCGCGTGCTCGGGCGAGCGGCTCGTTGGTCGCTGGGATGGCAAATTTGTTTTCGGCGTCGGATGCGGATGTCGGTCGCGTCGCACTCGGCCGTCTGAGGGGTGCTGTCCGCGGCTGAGGAGCCCTTGGCCAGGAAAACGTGCATCGCATGCTTGAAAGTCCCAAACAGCAACCTGGCCTTCCAGGATCCCTTCATACATCGCAAAAAGCACCTCCATTGCAACATCCCCCGCGCGTGCCAAGGCAGAGCATGGGGCGCCGTTGGGGCCGGGGGTGCCATCGCGGTCGCGACGAACTATGTCGGCGACGGCCTCGAGCTCGAGCCCAATCAGATGTGGCGGGGGCATTTCTGAGCGCGAGGCGCGAGTACCTGGCGCGCTTTCTCGCGGCAGTAGCCTCCTTGCTGGAAGGGCCCCCAATGCTGGGCGAGCTCTTGCGCCGCCATGTCGGAGTCAGAGATGCGCTGGCCGGTTGGATCGACCAGCCCATGAAGCATCGCCGTGCGCCTAGCACTACCCCGAGCTGTCTGATAAGCAAGAAGACGAGCTTGCGTTTCGGCTTTGCGTCGCGGGTCGAAGTCCGCATTTTCGATGTCACTAAATCACCGGGAAATGTTCCCCAAAGCGAGATGGCAATGGAAGCCGGCTCGCCGAATCCAATCCCCAGACCGATAGTCGATGAGTCCCCGCAGCTTGGGGTACGCTTTTAAAGCGCGCCGCCCATGGCGCTGATCCTCGGCGCCAACTGCGCGCGCGGCGGTCAGGGTCCACGAGGGCTTCTCTGCAGGCGACGATGCCTGGCGGCGCTCGAGGCGCGCGCGAAGCCGAGCCGCAGCCGCTCGCTGAAGGTCTTGCCATTCAGCGAGGGCAAGTACTGGATCACCACTGAAACCACCTACGCCAAGACGAACAGCATGAACGCATTCGAAAAAAAGATGCTTCGAAATTCATGGCTGGATCCAAAACGGCCACTGAGATTCCTGAAAAGCCCAAATCACCAGGGCGAGGGGCGCGCGGCCCGACGGGAAACTGGGGTCCAGGACATCGCTGAGCACTAGAAAGTTCGGCATTCAGCCCAGGAAAGGCCACAAACACAAAGCACGTGAGAATCGATTCTATCCAGACGCCAAACGGGCGATGCCCCCCCACCTTCCTCCACGGTCACTCGACGCGTCGGCAAAGGCTGAAAGACTCCAACCAGGTCCTTACAGCTAGCGCGCGAAAGCACGCCCACGACAATGAATATGATCGATATACTTTCGGTCATGCCACTGACTGGACTCTCCGTCCGCAAAGAAAGCGAAGTCGCCCAGCAAGAACGCGGCGGCCTTCGTGGCCGGCTGAACTGGGACGAACTTGTCTTATAACAACCTTCTTGGCCGCGATCGAGAGGGAGGGGTCGAGGTGCCAGTTGGGGATCTGCAAGGTGCCCTTGGACCCGTGGAGCCCGACTCCCAAAGGGCGCCCGGGGGTGAGTTCCAGAGGATCGATTCGATCGAAATGTTGAATACTGAGCAAGCCGAGGGCGAGCAAGGATGCAGACCCCGCCTGCAAGCTGAGGGCGAGCAAGGATGCTGACCCCGCCCGCGATACCGGATGCACAGACCCCCCCCCGCGCGGAGCCTGAGTACTTCCTGAACGAGATACTGAAGACCCTCCTCCTGCTCGTGAGTCTCTTGAAGACATGCAGAGTTTTGGAGAAACTGTTTTAAAACAAAAGAACTCCCCGACACTCATGCCTGGCACGGCCGCACTCCAGTACGACAATTTGAAGAGCTTGTCAAGATGATGTTTCCTCAAAATGTTGGAGGAACTTGGAACGTGTTCTGGGCCGTTCGGACAGGGGGGTGGACCGATGCAAGTTGTGCGTGACGGTTCCAGCTCACGAGTCAAAGTCTGCGCTTCGGACGGCGCGCGGAGTCAGGCAGAGGCGGGCCAGGGGCCGCCTGCGACGAAGGAGAAACACCAGAGGACCCAGTTGGAAGAAGCGGAAGGACTGGCACCCGACGAAGGAGCAGGAAACAGGGGGAGCAGAAGAGGAGGCAGACGCTGATCTGGTAGTGGGCCGAAAATACACCCCCATAATGATCAACCCGACACGCAAAGCCGTTTAGCAAACGCACCCACAGAGAGAATCGAACAGGGCAGGGCGGCTTAGTAAACGCCCAGGGACATTTAGTAACCGTCGATATTCGGGGCTGGGTGTTTTGTTTCCTCCCTGGATCTGGACCGAGCCATGCCTGCAACCCCAGAACGCCCAGACGATGGAGACCCCGTAGCCGTCCAGCAACTTGCGCTCGTGCCTGCCCGGTTTGCCGAATGCTGCGGGGTCCCCATTTCTTCGCGATCGTCAGAATGCGATTCGACTTGAAGCTTAGGCCACCCAACCGACATGGGAAATCGTCAACGTGCATCACGCCACTTGAATGCAGCTCGAAACCACGGCTGGGTTTCGTTGACTATCTCCGCTGCCTTCTCGCGCAAAGTGCGGTACATGTTGAAGCCCTCGCAGCGAGGCTCAATGTCGCATGACTCTCTGAGGTCGCTGGTGATATTTGCTGAGCACAGTGATGCCCTGCGTTTTTTGTCGGCCACGTACACTCAGCCCTTTTATCCTTTGCATCCGAGCTTGTAGCGCTGTGCGTGACAGACCTTCATGCGTTTCATCTCGTCCAGCGACTGCCTGCAAGAGACATCCCAGCAGCTTGTTCTTGGCACGAACAGAGGGTGGTGCGTCCAAGCGAGACCTTAAACCAATTTCCTTCTTCACGACAGAATCATCGTAGTATGGTCCGTGCGCGCACGTGGTCGACGAAGTCCCTGGCGATGGACTGGGACCCGAATTTGATGAAGTAGCTCTGGCTCAGGTTAAAACACTCGTAATTGGCCCGTGCCGAGATGGTCGAGGCGACGTTGGGCAGCACCATCTTCGCATGCTCCGCCATGGCAGAACCAAACATGGGACGACCGAGACCTCCAATCTAAACCTTGGTCGGGTCGGCTGGCCTCTTGTCATTGCTGGAGAGAAAGAGAGAGGGAGAGAGAGCGTGGACCCGATGCGCAGTCAGCCGAAGATCTCGTGGACGCTTCCAACTTGGATTCGCGGGCGGCATCGACCAGCTTCTGGAGGTCGCTCTGGATCTGACGACTCGTCTTGTCCATGCAGACGCACATCGCCTTGGTGCGATTGGCGCGGTCTTGAAACTGGGCCTGCATCTCCTGCAGGGTCGTTCGACGTCGGCAACGCTGGGGTTCACAGTCCTGATCTCATCGAGCACCGAGTTGATACCCGCCATCATCTCGACTCTTCGCCTTCGGCCGTGCGGGCCTTCTTGGTCGCACGCGCCATGGGAGCGACAGGCGTGATGCGAGTGATCGCGGAAGGCAAGGCTCCAGCCGCCTTGACAGGCCCGCTGGAGGATCGTGAAAAGGC